CCCCGGAACCCCCCCCCACCCCCCTTATTTTTTTTTTTTTTTTTTTTTTGCCCCTGAGAGGTCTCCCTGGAGACCCCTGGTGGTGAATAGTTACTGCACTAGAACTAATGAGGTGTTGGGGGTGGGTGTCCCAGCATAGGGCCTGGGTCAGGGAGTCCAGTGCCACTTATTTCTCTGAGACAGGCTTAGAAGTACTCCACTGTATGCTGTTTCACCTCAGGTAGCAGCAGAGACTATGCAGCAGCACAGGAATTACACAAGCTGTCAGTGTCTCCTAATAACCCTATTCCTAACATCTGAAACATCCATAAAATTGGCCGGCTGAATCAAGAGTCAGCAGATACAGAATTATGAATAGGGCATTTTCCTTTTTGCATCCTGTATTATTTGTGGAGTAGAGAATGAGTAAAAATATAATAAAATTTAAGACAACCCCCATTCCTATCCCCCCTCCCTCTCCTTCCCCCTCCCTCTCTCCTTCTCTCCCTCACTCTCTTTCTCCCTCTCCCCCTTTCCCTCTCTCTTCCTCTCCCTCCCTATCTTCCTGCAGCATTAAACTCTGAAAAGTTAATTTCTCTCTGTACTGACTTCTACAGGCTTATTTTGAGGGAGGAGAGAGTATTTTTATCAGTTTGTAGCTTTTCCAGAATTTTTAAAAGAAACTGCATGAAACTGATATGCACTGTGGACTAACATGGAATTTGTTTTGTTGCATGGCCTGGTGTGCGGTGGAATTCAAAACAGAGAGTAAGTGTCAACCCTTTTTTCTGTTATCTGTGCTCTGCAATGCATTTGTCTCTGCCAATATGGGCAGTTGTTAACATTGTTAACTTAAATATTGAGGCCAACATGGGCATTTGTAGTGTTTCTATCTTTGGAGGAAATCATAAATGAAGTCTATAAAACACTTGGTTTTCTGTGTCCAGGTTTTCAGTATGTTTTTGGAGACCCTTGTGGATTTCATAATAATTCATAAGGATGACTTGCAAGACTGGCTCTTCGTTCTTCTCACACAATTGCTTAAGAAAATGGGAGCAGACTTACTTGGATCTGTGCAAGCCAAAGTTCAGAAAGCACTAGATGTTACCAGGTAAGTGTTTCAGGGTCTGTGCCATGTTGATGTTACGTGTGAGGGAGTCTTGTCCATGATTTCTTCCATAGTCTTCTATTAATCACTCATTGTTACCCACTGGCCTCTCTTCCCTCTTGCTTAGTTCTCACAGTCTCTGACCTATTTATTGACATGTCTTTTTTTTTTGTTGTTGTTGTTGACTTTTTGAGACAGGGTCTCCCTCTAGTACCAGCTGGCCTGAAACTCACTATGTAGACCAGGCTGGCCTTGAACTCACAGAGATCTGCCTGCCTCTGCCTCTGGAGTGCTGGGATTAAAGGCACACACCACCACGCCCGGCTTACTGACATGTTTTACCAATCTAGGCGATGCTAAACTTGTGCTGTCTTTGAGTAGGCCATATTTTTGTGAATGCATATGAAATACACAGAACTTTAACAATCCTCTTTTATAAAATATAGAGAACATTTAGAATATTTGTTTATACCTTTCTGAAGTTCTTATATTTTTATACTTCAGTTTATTTGTGAACCGCCCTTTAATTTATCAACATATGACATAGAAATCTTTTTTTTATTTTAATAACTTATTGAAAATTTCATACATGCATATAAGGTGTTTTGAGCAAATCCACGCCCGCTCCCTCCCCTCCAACTCCTATCATATCTCCCCATCACTTCTGATAACTTCATATACTCTTTCTTCTTCTTTTTTTTTTTTTCAAATAGGGCTTTTTACCTCTGAAGAGGTAACCCTAAAATCTTTTAAGGATTAGGTAAGAGCTCCCAAATACTTTTGACATTTTTCACTTTTGGAACGGAATATGTTGCTAAGAGGCCCAAGGACATTTTGACTTTTCACCAAGAAAGTGGCTACTTTTCTTTGGGGCCTTTTTACACTAACTGCCTAGCCAATTCTTACCTCCTATTCTTATCATATCCTCTGAAGAGGTTACCCAAATTGCTGATAGAGAATTTGGACACAGACTACTCTGGCTTCTTCCATGCTGAACAGGGACTCAGCAATTGGAGTTTACTTTTTATTAATAATTTTGATGAAAGCACTGATACCTAGTATATGCCTTTTCATAAAACTATAGATTTCTTGTATTCTCTTAATTTTCACATCAGTCTTGTGATAATTGATAAAACTTACTTCTGGTATTGTAGATTCAAACACTGTCCTTAATCCCTAGTCATTTCACCATTCTTCTGTAGGAAAAATATCTTAAGAGATTCCAAAGAAAACAGTCTTATCACTCAGCCTCAAGGTACCAGATACTCACACTCCCTTATCTTTCCTACTAATGAAGAAGTTGCATCCATTATGCAATTTTAAATAGTAGTAGTAATTGCCTCTTTGGAATGGACAGAGCATTGACTTTCTCTAGCCAGAAGCCCCTGAGGATTACTTGATTGGACAGACATGCACAATGACTGTAAGAGATGGGATTAGTCACAGGCTCAGAGCAAGAGAAGGGGCTCCTTGGAGTCATAGCTCGGTGGAGACTTTAATGGCACTGAATATCACACAGGCATTCTTCTGTGGTGACTGTGTGGATGCCAGGCCTAGGAGGACACCCAGTTAGCTTCAGCAGTGATTGGAAGCAACCTGGTGTGGGTGTAAAGATAAGGTCTTCCAATCAAGTGGTTTTTGAGTAAGGAGGATTTGGAAAGGTAGCTGGAGGGAAGGGGTCAGATTCTGAGAAGGCAGGAGGAATACCTGACCTCCCTTAATTCTAAAGTAGCTAGTGACCTTGGTGTGTATTAGGGGAGACTGTCTTTTTCTGAATTTTATATATGAATATTAATTTAGTGCTTATATAAATCTGCCACAGCATATTTTGTTATAGTTTTATTAACTCTTTTGTAATAAATTATTGTTTAAAATTTATGTGTATGAGTGTATTGCCTGTATGTAGGTAAGTGCACCCGTGTCATGCAATGCCCACAGAGGTCAGAAGAGGGCATCAGATCCCCTGGAACTGGAATTATAGACAGCTGTTAGTCACCATGTGGGTGCTGGGAATTGAACCTGCATCCTCTGCAAGAGCAGCCAGTGTTCTTAACTGCTGAGATATCTCTCCAGCCCCATAAGTTACTTTTAAATAGGCACTTTACTTTTTGGTTTGTTTGTTTTGTCCTAGGGATTCCTTCCCATTTGATCAACAATTTAACATTTTGATGAGATTTATTGTGGATCAGACTCAAACTCCAAACCTCAAGGTCAGTAACTGTTCATCATAACTCCTATAACTTAAAATTGTTTCACTTATCATTCATGAGTAACTCTGGGAATATTTCATTTCTCTTGGTTCAAAATTGCTGATTCCTTGGGTACTTTTAGAAACTGCCAGAATAGTTGTGCCATATTCCATTCCTATTACCAGTATCCAGCCACTCTGTGTCCTCACCAACAACTGGGTATTATTAGTTTTTTTCGCAGTTGATGCCTTAACTAGAAAAGGAAAATGCACTGATGTGCTGAAACCAATATTGTATGGAATGTTTAATATTAACATACTCCGAGACTCTAGAAAGTTACTCCTATATTAACAAGGCAACTCAGTTTTGTAGGAACGAGGGAATGTGTGGTCATATGAATCATCTGCTCCTTGGTCATGCACTTTCTTGAGGTTCTAGGGTGGGTTTCCTAAGCTTCTCCTGAAGTCAAAGCCAATGGCAAAGTTGAGACAGAGCATGAGTTGGGAGTGTTGGGAAGTGCTGCCCCTCAGGGCCTGACCTAGAATGCTTTGCAGAGCTGACTGCAGGGCTGAGCTTGCCCTCCGGCCAGTGGCAGACCTGTCCTCTAAGAATCTTGCAGCATGGATGAGTAGTAGGCTGTCACTCCATGTAGAAACATAATCCAGAGCAGAGGGGAAGTTTCCAATTCATGGTATTCACTTTTTCCCTGACTGCCAGCTAAAAATTCTTATGTACACTTTATGGAGTGTACTTAACATTTCTAACCATTGATCTCTTAGGTCAAAGTCGCAATCCTGAAATATATTGAGTCTCTGGCCAGACAGATGGACCCAACGGATTTTGTAAACTCTAGCGAGACAAGGCTTGCTGTTTCTAGAATCATAACCTGGACAACAGAACCAAAGAGTTCAGACGTGAGAAAGGTATGTTCACAGAGCTCAAGTAAAAGTGCAGACTATTCTTAGGCATGTACAGAATTTATTTAGAAACATGCTCAGTGTCCTACACACCCCTGCATAAAACAAGTGTGAAAAACACCCGTGTGAAAAAACAAGGTGTGCTGTCACCACTTCTCTTTCCTGCTCTGCCCCTCCCCAGTCTACAATGGCTCTTACCTTTTGTGATTTGAAAGCACTAGGAGCTCTGTTTCTCTCACTGTCAGCTGGTAATGTGCTTTGATGATGGAATTGCCAGTCTCAAGCTCACTGACTGTGAAGGAACCTGAGAGTACAATGCAATTGGAACTTTTGATAAGATGCAACAGACTCTTGACTTTAAGAAAGACAAAAATCAGGACTGGAGAAATGACTCAGTAGGTAAGAGTCCTGGCATCCAGGTGGTGGCTAACAGCCATCTGTTAACTCCAGTTCCAGGGGAATCCAGTGCTCTCCTGACCTCTTGGGCATTGCAGGATGTGGGTACACTTACACTCATACAATACAAAATAAAAATAATAAAACATTAAAAAAAAAAGGGCAAAAATCCTCCTATTTATATGCCATACTTGGAACATGCCCTCTTTAATTTGGGAAGTTGAGTGGTATGTGAATGGAATTCAGATTTTGTGTGTGTGTGTACGTACACACACTTATACAAATGTTTTGCATGTGTGTATGGAGGCCAGAGGTCAGCATTAGGTATCTTCCTCTTTTGCTCACCACCTTATTTTTTTTAACCTTATCAGTTCAGCTAGGTTAGCTGGCCATTAAGCTTCAGGGATCCTCCCACCTCTGCCGCACCCAACCCCCAGTGCTGGGGTTACAGACATACACCACTGTATTTTTAGGTGGGCACCAGGGATCCAAACTGGGGTCTTCATAGTTAAGCAACGACACTTTACCAGTTGAGCCATCTCTTCAGCCTCAGAATTGAGACTTTTTGAAACACCTACCACCAAGGCATTGCTTTATTAGGTCACAGGAAATATTTGCTGCTTCTTCTGAAATGCCATATGGACAGGCTTATAACACAGTAGAGTACAGGCTGCAATTCTCTTACTAGATAGTAATCTGCTTCACAGCAATGTTATAAAGATGCATTGATACATGCACAACATTTACTTAACTGCTAACAAGCTACAGATGTATACTTGTGAGTCAGTATTGGTTTTGTAGTAGCTATTCCCATTATCTTCCTAGCAGTACGGCAGCCAGTGTTTCAGTTTTGCACACGGTACATGGTTGCTGTTGACTTTTACTTTATATAAAAGCTTTACAAGCTGGGGAGATAGTTCGTTCAGTAAAGTGCTTACCTCACAAGCATGAGGATCCTAGTTCTATCCCCAGAACTCATGTAAAAGGCCAGGCATTGTGGTCGAAATGGATGTATATGGTATGTGCTCACCTAGACAGCTCCCCAACAGGGTTTGTCCCTCTACCATCCAGGCTACTTCTTCTTGTCCCAGCCCAAACATCACATCTGGTTGGGTAGGCAGGTACCACAGACCCCAGGAGGCTTTGATTCTTCCTTGTAGAGGTCCTTCTGAACAGAATCCAGCTGTTGCCACCGTTCCAGGGTAAAGTTTGCAAAGATATTCCTAAAGGTCAGGATTCCTGGGAAAAGGAAGGAAATGATATCTTTCAGCCTCAGACTGGGGGTTTTTAGATTGACTGTTGAAACCAGGGTATAGGAAAGCTGGAATCCTAAATTGGGGAGCACAGGCGCAATAGCCCCAAGGATAGAACACCACTCATGGGAACAAGAAAAATGCTGTTCAAGATCCCAGGTTCTCATAGTGACAAGAGTGTGTCACAGCAGAAAGGCTTTTCCTGACTTTGAGACTTTTACTTTTGTTTCTATTGATCAATCCTGTCGTTTTGAAAATTACAACAGAAATACCTATTTATGACTTTCATTTTTATTTTATTTTTGTTTTAATTTTTTTAGACAGGCTCTCACGGTGTAGGGCCTTCATGACCAAGATGCAGGTGTGGAAGAGGTTACTAAAAACAAAGTAGAGAGGAAATGGGGTCCATTCACAGGCATGCCCCATTGACCTAAGGACTTCCCACTAGTCTGCATCCCTTAAAGGTCCATTGTCAGCTGTAGGATTTTGCTACTAATCCCTCAGCCTCATTTCAGGGATCAGCTGATTGGACCAGGTCTACTCACATTATACAGTTTGACTCACTTGAAGTTAACCATGTAGCTTAACCTTAACTACATGTGCACAGTCTGTTCTGCCACGTGACACTGATGAACATCGTGTCCATCATCCTCCCAAGTCTGACTCGCCTTGCTTGTCAAAACTTTCTCTTTTTTATTATTTTGTGTATGAGTATATTGCCTGCATGTATGTTAAGTGCACCCATGTCATGCAGTGCCTTCAGGGGTTAGAAGTTGCTTTGGAGCCAGGCCTGATGGGGCATGCCTTTAATCCCAGCACTTAGGAGGCAGAGGCAGGTGGATCTCTGTGACTTCAAGGCCAGCCTGGTCTACATAGTGAGTTCCGGGCCAGCTGGGGCTACAGGGAGACCCTGTCTCAAAAAGACCAAA